CGAAGCTCTCCAAATCGATGAGACCGAACACGGCCCAGAAGAGTGTCTGCGATGTTTCAAACAAGCTGGAAATTCGTATATTTTGCATGAGTACACAAACTACACACATTGCAATAAAAGTTCCTGTTGTATATTCAAACTAAACCTCTAATATTCATCCTACTAGAGATCTAGTCATCTAATGCGTTTGTAGGTTATGTTAGGTTAAGTTAGGTTGGTATTAACTAGCGTGTAGGGTATATGTGGAGGTATAAAAGGATAAACAGGGATTATGTGCTAGTGATGCGTTGATGGTTGCTGTTTGTTGGTTTTACTTTGTCACCAGTTGGATTTAGACATGCAAAACAATCCAGGTGAACTCAAACGGAAACCCAAACACATGATTTTCATGATTGCATGCATTCTGTAATATTGCTTACTTTGCGAAGCGTCGCCATATTATACACGCATTGTGATCAGACCCAGCAAGAGTTTCATTTGCATACGGATGTTCTGTGGGACATTTATATCTTTCTGCTTCGGCGTAGTACCATAACAATTGATTTAAACCTTTTAAAACAAAAGATATTAAAGTTTTACACTAATTTTTTGTTTTTTATGTTTAACTTACCACAGGAAAACGCAAATAATACTAAAACATATAAAAAGAAGAATTTCATGATATCCATCACCATTCGTGATAGTGATACTTGCAGAGGGCCTAGATGAGGGTTCACAGAGAAGATATACACTAATTTCAACGAGCTGTAACAAAAAATTGTGTTTTTAGGTGTTTTTTGAAGTGTTTTGAGGTTAAACGGTACCTAAATATGTTTGCTGCTGAAAATAAGCCTTCTGATATCAACATTGGGTCCCACGCATCCCAATCTTTACGTTCTTCATTGCCAGGCTCAAGCAGTATATGTACCTAGACATAAAAACACCAATATAGCTTAAAAACAACATAACCTTAATTGTAAAAACTATTTTTGTTATAACTCATTTGTTTTTCAAAATTTACAAAATTTTATTGCATATATAATTAGTAGTGATAAAAATAAACCTATATTTAAAATATCATTCAAATTGGTTCATTAGTTCTCGAGTTATAACAACTTTAAGTTTAAAATAAATTTAATTCATATTTCATCCGCTAGATACCGCTAGCATGTACTCACTTGCACCTCGGCGTTCTCGTAGTGCACTTGATAGTACGAGACGATACGCAGCGCGACGGTTGCGACGTAGAGCGAATTCGTGATGAAATCAATGACGTTCCACATATCGCGCACGTACTCCTCCAGACCGACGTCCCATAATTGCTTTATCTCGCTCCAGATCAACCCTGTCAGCACCAAA